AGGGAAAGGAAGAGAGTTGAAAAGAAACCAGCGATTTTCCAAGGGGGAGGAAAGGGGGGGGGGGAGGCAACTGATGTGGATAAGTGTTATCCAATTATCCTTCAATATTTGTTGGATCTCCCTTCAACTGTATAAATTATGCAAAACCAGAATTGAATTTTTTTAACTTCTTAAAAGTGAAGAAAATGGACTGACATGACTGTATGAATGAATATTTATGGGCAAGATTTATCAGTAAAATGTGTTGACTATTGTAAACGTTTCTGTAGCTTTGACAAGATGTCAGTAAGTGTTTCTGATCCTTTATATAAACATAATAAATGATACATTTTTTTAATGAAACCCCTGATTGCCGTTGTGAAGATGCTTTGTAGTCTTTAGTGATATTTTTAACTTTATGTTGTGACTCATGACTATTGTTAGCATGTGTTTTACCAGTTTTGAGTTTTGTAATTAGCTAAAAAGTATTTTTACAGATATTTCAAAGACCATCACTGTGAGAATACTTAAATTATTTGAACTTGATATGATATTTAGTGTAATCTTGTTGTGTTAGCACCAAACTAAATCCTAATTTCAAATCTACCATTACATTTTTACTTATTGATTGGGAGCTTTATACTGTGTTCGAGTACAGCAACTGTTTCATTTATTGGCTTATTACTCAGACCATTAGCATTGACATTGGGAATTGAAGCAAGTTAATACTACTACTTTATATTTGATGCTTTAAAAAAAAATAACCCATTCTTGATTACTATTGCTTTCCATCTTTGATTTTCTTCATAAAATGTACATAAATGATATAAATATTTACACCAGACCCATAACCTTGTTGTTTGTTTTGCACAAAGCCACAAAATAGATTATTTTCACTCTGTCCACTGCAGGGAATCAAACTCAGGATTTTAACATTGTACATTTCTACACTTAATGCTGACCGACTGGGGGAGCCCATTCTTCTTGTTCTCTAGTGTTATGCCGGTATGCATGCATTGATGATCGTAACTTTCCATTTCTCTCTATTTTTGGTGATTCTGTGTTATTCCAATTTTATGAGTCTACCCAACATCTTAATTCTTTGTTTTTCTTTGCTTCTTTTTCCTTCTATCTTGTGGGTTATTACTATGTTCTCCATCTTTTCTTTCCTCATCACATGGACTATGAACTAAGCTTTTCTCTTTATTATTCTCTTGATGTTATTGCATGTTGTATTGGCTTGTACCAATGCTTGTTCATTACTTTTCTTCTTAGTCCATGCTATTCACAGTATTCTTCTTCAGAACTATATTTTGGCTGTTTCAAGTTTTCTTTTGTTGTTATCCAATTTTTGCATCCATACATAAGTATGGGTTCAATGTAATATTACAAGACAATTTTTCTTCTATTGATATTGTTTGTCAGTATAGCTTTCATATTCTTTTAATCACTTCTATGCACTTACCAGTTGATGTTATCAATGAGCCCAGATAGTTGAAATAGTGAATTTGTTTGATCTTTGTCCTATCAATTCTAATGCTGTATTTTGGGATATTACTTTTCTAGGAGGTTACCATACATTCTGTTTTCTTGCAGTTGAGAGTCAGTCCTTTTTTTCTTTATTTCATCAATGATTAGGTTAACCATTTATTGAAGATCTGTTTCATTTTCAGTAATTAGCACTATGTCATCTGCATACATCAAGTTGTTGATGTTATGTCCTCCAACTTTATTTCACAGCCTGTTTTCTATACTTCTGAGAATCATTTCATTGTATATTGAGGAATGGTCTAGGGAAAGAACACATCTTTGTCTGACACCTTGTTTTATTTCTTGAAAACACTGATATAGTTTCATGTTTATAGCTGCGCTTTGTTCCCAGTACAGACTGCTGAATCATTCTGAGGTCTTTACAATCAACACTAAGACTGTCCAGAATTTTTAACATCTCTTCATGACAGCTGCTGTAGTATAATCAATAGAACACATGTATAAATCTTTTGTACTTCAGTTGCTCTTTCTGTTACAAGTATGTATGTGTGGGTTATTTTTCTTTCTCACTCCAACCATGAGTATTCTCACTAGGATTTTGGTTATGCAGCTCATACTATTTATTGTTCTGAAATGGTACTACTTCTGCTAACCCATAGCTATCTCAACCTTCATTTGCCCTATAGGCATTGGTAAATCTTATGAACAGTGCACCAGTCTTTTATACCCCAAATACATGTGTTAATTATGTGACCACCCTCCACCAACCCCAATGTGCCCTCTATACTAGTGCAGGTAGCTCCCCCTACCATTGCAGCACAATCCACACTTTCTCAATTGACACTAAAGTGTTATTTTCAGTTGTTCTTCAAGCAAATTTTGCTACATTTTTGTGTGGTTTCTTGCTAGGTTTCACTTTAATTTGAAATTACTTGTTCATTTAGTAGTTCCTTTACTATTATATTTTTTCAAAGTCCAAGTGGACTTGTGAATTCGAATTTTCATGTGGCGGATGAAGATGTTTCCGCCAATGTGGATGAAACTTATGTCACTAGGCCCCAACACATCAAGTTGCTGATGTTGGCCGAGGAGATTCAGGCATTAATTTGGTGGTAGTTGGATGCTTCTCCTGCTGCTTCTACTCATTATTCCATCCCCCAGGACCACTCTTCTGAGGAAGTTTTTAGCCAGGGGGGAGGACAATTTCATCTTGATCATGTCCTTCTTATACCTTATTGATCAGGTTTGTCAAATTTGACATGTCTCCCCTTTAGCCCTTGATTTTTCTACTTCTTCCTTGCAGGGAGAAGAGCCTCATTTCGATTATAATTATTTTCTTCCCTCTCCCAACATTCTTGTTCATGCTCAATGTTTTGGTACTCAAGTACAATTGGGAGTGGGTATGCCTTGACACCCTCGGGTTTTGGACCATTTCTCTTTTGCTTTTGCCTTGAATCCCTATTTGGATTCTCAGCATTTAGATCCTCTCCTTTCCTTCTGGGTTTTTAATCCTGATGCCTTGGTCCATTTTAATAGGTCCCAGATACTACGAATCGCATTACATTGACCAATCTTTTACATGTTCTTTCCTCTTTATAGTTGTCTCAGGCCTTCCACCAGTATCCTGATAGGTTCTTGGCCAATCTCTGGACCCTCCTGTGGTCTACTATGGCCCAGTTGTTGGCTCCAGCCTTGTCCCTCACCACTTGGATTTTGTGTTGTTGGGATTTTCTTGGAAGGGATGCATTACTTACAGGGGTGCATCTCCCCCATTTGTTGTTGCAGGAACTTCAGTCTTTGGAGGTTTTCCTGAATCTTTGGAATCCAGGGTCAATGTGGCGAGATTGCATTCTTCTTTATCCTCTCACCCTACTGATTCTGCTCTATCTTTGCTTGTTTGACTGCCCCATGCTCCTTCTTCTTTGCCCTGCCTTTTTCCTCATGCCTCTTCTTTACATTCCCATTTCTCTCTGCATCACCATTATTGGTGACAGGATGTCTTTCCACAGGCAAGTGAGGGCCAGGTTACAACTATTTTCTGCCATCTGGAAACCCTTCACGACAGCTCCATGGGTGTTACGGGTTTTGTCAGAGGGTCTATGCATTCAATTCTTGTCCCCTCCTTCCCTGTCATCTTTCACAGTTTCTTTTTGTCCTCCTCAGGATCATGTATTGTCCAGTTGTCTAATGGAATCAATTCTCAGTCTTCTTCACATAGGTGCTGTAGAATGTGTGGTGCCTGATTGTCTGGGTTTTTACTCTCGTATGTTTATTGTCCCAAGAAAGATGGGAGATTGGAGACCTATTATCGATCTATCCCGGCTGAATGCCTTTCTAGACACACTCGGATTCACCATGGATTTCTCCTACCTCTCTCTTTGTTAGGGATTTTCCCCGGTTCTTTAGATGACCAAAAATCGATGTGACAGATGTTTACTTTCATATCCCCATTGCTCAGGAGTCATGTCATTATCTTCATTTTGTCCATGGGGAGAATGTGTTCCAGTTCCATGCACTACCATTTGGCCTTGCCTTGGCTCCTTTTGTTTTTGTTGGTTTGTCCATGCCTTT